TCTAGCAGGCCATATATGCTACTCCTTCCGTTTTGAAATGTTTGACGCCGTTGATTTTTTATCACATGTTTGACCATTCGTTTTATTTAAAAAATTTAATTAATTATTAATTTTTTTTCCTATCATTTGATTCGTTGTTAAATATATTTTTATGTAGGCATATAATTTTACATATCTCACAAAAGTTTTTGAATAAGACGAACGGTCAAACATGTGCTAAAAAGTCAACGGTGTCAAATATTTCAAAACGGAGGGAGTATATATTATGTACTAAATACTCTAGTCTGTAGTATATGGTAAAAAGTAAGCATATCATTTTATCAAAGAAGAAGAAGCATCGTTTGCTGCCCATCATCTGCCCAAAATGGAACATGGGCTGAGCTGGCAAGCCCAAAATTATATTTTCTCAGGGAGGCAGCCCATGAACGAAAACTGATCGTTTTCCACCTTGATCAGATGATTAATCGCGACTAATCGTCGATTAATCAAACGATCAGCTTTCTGATTGGCTAATCGACTTACTTGTGCCTGATGGGAGGTAGGGGAGCGATCAAGACGATTAATTGCGATTAATCGGACGATCAGATAATATTGGTAGTAACACACGGGCTATCAACTAGTTCATAGAATGAGTATGCACATGTGTAATAAGCGCATGCATGAGTTTATATTGCGTTAGGAAAAAATACATGAATTGTATTTTGGTCCATGTTTTCTTTTCACTTTGTTTTACCATTATAGCAATTTTTTAGACCACCCTACCACAATTTTAAAAAAAACCTTATGAAAGTGTTTGATGACAAATATATTAATCAATGTCATTTCCACAAATTAAACTCTAATATTTCTTGTCTAGTAATGATGTAAAGTATCGGGATTGACCGTATGTATTCTACGACGCAGGGCCGGCTCTATATTTTCGAGGGCCCTAGACAAAATCGACGCTCTAGGCCCTTAAGGCTAAAAGTTTTTTAATTGTAATATATACTTTATAAATAACCATGTATACTTAAGTTGACTTGATTATTATTTGTAACAACATTACTTAAGAAAAACTTACATATATATAGCACCCTTTTACGATTCAATAAACTGGTCTTCATGTTTCCTGTTCTTCCTTTTTGTGGTGTACTACCGGAAAAGTGCTTCATAGGCAACATTTTTTAAGCTCTAGCTAAAGATCAATCCAAGAAAAGAACACTGAACACCAATATCTAAACAATGAGTCAAGAACATGTAACGACCTAAAACTGGTGAGGGAAAAATTCCTTTTTTGTTTGATAACGGAAGTGAGGGAAAAAAATCTATATATTGAAAACTAAATATACATGATTTCATCACATACCTTTAGCTTATGAGGGATGATCGAATGAGAAGAAGATTAGAAGAAAATAGAGTTCAGCCATGAACTCTAAACCCTAAGGCAATAGGATGGGAAAAAGAAATAAGATTCGCTGAACTGAAGGAATATAATCATTTTCAAATTTTTAATCAGTGAGGAGAAGGATCAATAGATCGATGGATCATCATCACCTGATGTTAGCTTCCGTTTTGTCGTCCATCTTTAGTTCTCTGTTCCACACGGCGGCGACTCGGCGAGTAGCAATCATAGCAAGCAATCATGGGCCCGTATTTGTGGGCCGTAAGGCCTGACAACGAAGTGCCTGGAGGCCCAATCTAGCTGGACTGAAAAAAGGCCGTGTGCGTGTGCGGTCGAAAGAAAAAGGAATAAGTTCACCAGGTCTGTCAAACTTAACAGCGAGATTTTGTGAGATCCTTTAACCACAGAACTAAAAATGTGTACAGCAAGATTTTTTAGCTCGTTTAACCACAAAATTAGAAATGTGTACCTCTAAACTCACTCAAACCGTTAACAGAAGATCCCATGACAATATTTTTGCCCCAGATTTGCTGACGTGGCATCCTAGTCAACAAAAAAATTTTAAAAATTACGTGAGACCCACATGTCAGCTACACATTTTTTTTCTCCTCTTTTCTTCTTCGCCTCTCTTTTTTCCCTTCTCTCTTCCCTAGCGGCGGGCGGCAATGGGCGAACGCGGGATGCGGGCGGCGGGCGGAGAGCCAGTGGGCCTAGGAGGCTAGCGGCAAGTGAGCTCGATAGCGGTCGGCGCGTGGCGAGCGGAGCGGCGGCGGGCTGCGAGTGGAGCGGCCAACCCCCGCCGCCACCACCGTCTCTCTCACCCGCCGCCAGCTATCGACCCCTGCATGAGCGGCTTCACGGCGACGGCTGTACTCCTCATCACCGTTGCGCTACATGGCGCCCGCAGGTGACCACCCTTATTCCCGCGCCCGGCCGGAGAGGGGAAGGGAGGCCGGGTGAAGTGGGGGAAGATGAGGCCAACGGGAGAGGGGGAAAGAGACAGCGCCTCGCCGCTGCTTGCTGCGCCGTCCTCGCCCGTCGCTTGCCGCCGCTGCAGCCACGCTCGCCCGCTGACGCCGCCGCTCTGCTTGCTCCGGTCACGCACAGATGCCGCCCCTCCGCCTGCTCCGGCCACACGCTGCCGCCCGCTGCCGCTCGCCCTCTGCGGCCGCACTCGCCCATCGCCTGCCGCCGCCGACGCTTTGCAGCTACTGTAAATGGTTTGAGTGAGTTTAGGGGTACCAATTTCTGATTTTGTGGTTAAGGGTCTAAAAAAAGGGAATAAGTTCATCTGAGGTCCCTTAATTTTACACCGAATCCGATTTTCGTCCTTGAACCCCAAAACCAGATACAACCGATCCCGAACTGTCAAAACCGGTGCAAACGAGGTCCCTTGGCGGTTTTGAAGGCGGTTTTAGCTGACGTGGCGCCTACGTGGCTGGTTTGACTAGGTCTCTATCCTACGTGGCATTGACGTGGCGATGACATGGCAATTATATATTGGAAAAAATTATATATTGGGTCTCTCTCCCCACTCGGCTCTCACCCTTCTTCCTCGTCACGCCGCAACAAGCCGCCGCCGACGACGGCGGCCGAAGCATGCCGACGGAGCGGCAGCTGCGGCAGGCCATGGGCGAAGGGGCCCACGAGGAGCGGAGGGGAGGGCGGAGCGGCGGCAGCGGCATGGCGCGGGCGGAGCGCCTCCCGCCTCCTCCCGTTCCTCCGGGGGCTCCCCAACCTCCCGCCGCTTCGCGTCTCCAGCAGCGCTCCCGTCACGCCGCCGCTCTCGTCGCCGACGGTGTCGCAGCCGCCAAAGATCAGGAAGCTGGACTGGGACGTCGACCCCTTCTAGCACCCCTTCTTCGCGGTCTCCGCGCCGGCGAGCCCGACCCGCGGCCGCCGCCTTGAGCACCCGGACACGATACCGGAGTGCGACGAGTCCGACGTCTCGACGGTGGACTCCGGCCGGTGGTTCAGCTTCCAGATGGCCACCACGGCGCTGACGTCCCGCACCTACAACCTCGTCAACCCGGCCTGGTGGATTGGGAAATTTCAGGGTGAAGTCTTCGATTCGAGTCCTTCCCGTGCATGCAAGAAAGGGCGATGTGCCGTGAGGAGATCCCTCAGCTTTGAGCATCCATGGGGTTCCTCAACCTTGTGGGCAACTCCATTGGGTGCTCGGCTTCCGGCGAGCGGCTCGTCTCGGCGGACAGGGACGGCGACCTGCAGGAGGCGCGCGCGCTGCTCGAGTACAACCCGCGGCTCGCCTGGTACTCCACTTTCGGTGGCCGCAACTCGCCGCTGCACTACGCCGCCGCGCAGGGTCACCATGAGGTGATGCCATTTGTCTGCCAAACTAGCTGAAGTATCAGTGTTTCTGTATAGATGGGTAAAAGAACTGCAATACTGCATTCACATTTTCTGTTGCTTGCATGTTCAGATTGTTTCTCTGTTGCTCGAATCCGAAGTCGAGATCAACCTCAGGAATTACAGGGGCCAGGTAAACCAAGATTTATGGTACATTTAATTGTTTAAGTTTCACTTGCGAAATTCGACAAGGGGAGGGTGATGCCATGGGAGGGCGAGAGGAGGTGGCGTGGACTGGGGCGAAGGACGGCGGCCGCACAGGAGGACATGTGTGGAGAGGGAGATGACTTGTGGGGCCGGATGTAGGTGGCGACGTAGGTGTCGGAGTGGCCGTCGAACACGGCGAAGAGGCCGACCTCGTTGCCGTCCTTTAGGCGGCGAAACTCGGCGGCGACCTCCTCCTCTGGCCACCTCCGCCGCCCGCGCCCTGCCGCCGCCGCCGCCGCCGCTCCGCCTGCCCCTCCGCTCCTCGTGGGCCCCTTCGCCCGTGGCCTGCCGCAGCCGCCGCTCCGCCGGTATGCTTCGGCCGCCGCCGTCGTCGTCGGCAAGCTGCGGCGTGATGAGCAAGAAGAGGGAGAGCCGAGTGGGGAGAGGGAGATGACATGTGGGGCCCACGGGCCCTATCATATTTTTTTTAGCTGACATGTGGGCCCCATTATTTTTAGATTTTGTTTGTGTGGCGGACATGTGGGCCCATGATTTTTATTATTTTTCCGAGATATAATTGCCATGTCATTGCCACGTCAATGTCACGTGGAACGGAGACCTTGTCAAACCAGCCACGTAGGCGCCACGTCAGCTAAAACCGCCTTCAAAACCGCCAAGGACCTCTTTTGCATCGGTTTTGATAGTTTGGGGACCGGTTGTATCTGGTTTTGGGGTTTAAGGACGAAAATCGGATTCGGTGTAAAATTAAGGGACCTCAGGTGAACTTATTCCAAAAAAATCACACTGTAAAGTTGAGGGAGCTCCGGTGAACTTATTCCAAAGAAAAAAGGTCCAGCCCTCAGCCCCTCACCGCCGTCCGCAGCGATACACCACCGCGATCTCCTCGCTGCCGCCTCCCCTCCTCCTGGCGCCACGCAAGCGAGCTCCCTCCTGCCCCGACGTACCTACGCCGCAAATCGCATTGGCCCCGCCGCCTGCGCTCCGGGACGCAGCGATGCCACGCCCCCGTCTCTCCACCATCTTCGCCGGCGCGGCCACCTCCACGGCGCCGGCCCCGGCCCCCGCGGCCTCGCCGTCGGCGCGCGCACCCCTGCGGCGACGGCGACGGCTCGGCCCCGGTCCCGGCGCGCGCCCTCAACGGGATCCTCGCCGCGCTCGCCCGCGCCCCGCCTTCCGCCGCCTGCGGTGACGCCCCCGCCCTCGCCATCGAGCTCTTCAAGCGGATGGACCGATGGGCCTGCCCCCGCCACTCTCCTCCCACCATCCACACCTACAACATCCTCATCGACTGCTACCGCCGCGTGCACCGCCCCGACCTAGGGCTCGCCATCGTCGGCCGCTTGCTCAAGAACGGCCTGGGGCCGGATGATTTCTCGTACTCGCTCATCTACGGTTTCGTTAAGGATGGGGAGGTGGACAAAGCTCACTGCTTGTTCCTTGAGATGATGGAGCAGGGCGTATTGCCGAAGATACTGATTTGTAACTCAATTATCAAAGAGCTTTGCAAGATGAAGGAAATGGACAAGGCCGAGAGCATTGTGCAGAAGATGGTCGATTCGGGTATTGCACCGGACTTGTTTACTTATAGCTTGATTATTGACGGGCTGTGCAAGTCAAAGGCAATGGACAAGGCTGAGAGGGTTTTGGAGCAGATGGTTGAGGCTGGTACTCGACCTAACAGTATAACATACAATAGCTTAATCCATGGATATTCCATTTCGGGGATGTGGAACGAATCGGTTAGAGTGTTCAAACAAATGTCAAGTTGTGGTGTCATCCCGACTGTTGATAATTGCAACTCATTCATTCACGCTCTCTTCAAACACGGTAGAACCAACGAAGCAAAATGTATTTTTGACTCAATGGTTCTGAAGGGCCCCAAACCTGATATTATCTCCTACTCTACGATGCTTCATGGGTATGCTACTGCTACTGACAGTTGTTTGGCTGATGTGCATAATATCTTCAATTTGATGCTAACTAAAGGTATTGCACCCAACAAACATGTTTTCAACATACTGATTAATGCATATGCTCGTTGTGGGATGATGGATAAGGCTATGCTTATATTTGAAGACATGCAGAACAAAGGAATGATCCCTGACACTGTCACATTTGCAACCGTGATATCTTCTCTTTGCAGAATTGGCAGGTTGGATGATGCTCTGCACAAATTCAACCACATGGTTGATATTGGTGTACCACCGAGTGAGGCTGTTTACGGCTGTCTGATCCAGGGTTGTTGTAATCATGGTGAGTTGGTAAAAGCCAAGGAATTGATTTCTGAAATGATGAACAAGGATATTCCTCCTCCTGGTGTCAAGTATTTCAGTTCAATAATAAACAACCTGTGCAAAGAGGGAAGGGTAGCAGAAGGGAAAGATATCATGGACATGATGGTACAAACGGGGCAAAGGCCTAATGTTGTTACTTTTAATTCATTGATGGAGGGATATTGCTTAGTTGGTAATATGGAGGAGGCATTTGCATTACTTGATGCTATGGCATCAATTGGCATTGAACCGAATTGTTACATATATGGTACGCTTGTTGATGGCTATTGTAAAAATGGAAGGATTGATGATGCATTGACTGTATTCAGAGACATGTTGCACAAGGGAGTCAAGCCTACAAGTGTTTTATATAGCATCATTCTCCATGGGTTATTTCAGGCCAGGAGGACAACTGCTGCAAAGAAAATGTTCCATGAGATGATTGAAAGTGGAACAACCGTGAGCATTCACACATACGGTGTTGTGCTTGGGGGACTTTGTAGAAACAATTGCACCGATGAAGCAAATATGCTGTTGGAGAAATTATTTGCTATGAATGTAAAATTTGATATTATTACTTTCAATATTGTGATTAGTGCAATGTTCAAAGTTGGCAGAAGGCAAGAGGCTAAGGAATTGTTTGATGCAATCTCTACTTATGGGTTGGTGCCAAATATACAAACCTACAGCATGATGATAACAAATCTTATAAAAGAAGAGTCATACGAAGAGGCTGACAATCTCTTTATATCAGTGGAGAAGAGTGGCCATGCTTCTGACTCTCGTCTTCTTAATCATATCGTCAGGATGTTACTCAATAAAGCTGAGGTTGCCAAGGCTAGTAATTATCTGTCTATAATTGGCGAGAATAACCTCACTCTTGAAGCTTCAACTATTTCTTTACTGGCTTCTCTCTTCTCAAGGGAAGGTAAATATCGGGAGCATATAAAATTGCTCCCTGCAAAGTATCAGTTTTTTGAGGGAGCCTGGCAAGATTAATACATTGTTGTATCTGAAATTGTTTCAACATGTTGCACTCTAGAGTTTCTTCTGCTCCCACGGGAAGGAAAATAACCTGTCCCCCAAAATTCTGGCATTGATTATTTTATTGTTGTTGTCAGTAATGTGTTGTTTGTGTTGAAATCGTGAGCTTGTCAATTGCTCTGCATACCTTTTATCTGTTGTTATTGAATGAGAAGCTAGACAGCGGAGTTCAAAATAAACTGTTGCATTTTTAATACGACAACTTCTGATGAAAAAGGTAGCACAGGTAGGTGTATGCATTGTGAAGATATTTGTGAAGATAGGAACTAACTTACCTTTATATTCTTATGTTTTAGTTGATGTTATTCTTGGCGATCTTCTGCTTATAAGCGACTACTTGATTACTTTTGCTTGAAGGATATTATCTTCATTTCAGCACAAAAGGTCCTTTGAAGACTGAATATTGTTTATTCTTCGACAAATTTCCAACGACACTTTATCAGTAGGAGGTTGTTGCATAATGGTCAGATCAGCTATAGTTTCGTTTGGACAATACTCGATCCTCAAATGTTCAACTGGCTGATCTGGTGATCGCCTTTATTTCAGACAGTTCAGAGCAGAGAAAGCCATTTCCTATGTTTCGTGGCTATCTTTCTGGACCCTGATTCAAAACAATTACTTTTTTCATAAGCATATCTTTGGCAGATACAATCCTAGCTAGCTAGTGAACTTCGTGATATGGATGGGCTTATTACTTTTGATACATTGAAGTCGTGTGGAAGCAGGATTTTTGAACACGCTGATAAAATTTTTCACTATCAGCAGACAAGATGAATGCCCATCAAGTTATACTTGCATAAAGGTGAGATGAGTAATGCTATGTTTTCATTCTTCTGATGAAAACTTGCTATGTTAAAATTTCAACTGCTTGGTTTCTATATTTATTTAACGAAGTATTAAACATACAAAATATATTGGCAATGTAGGGACTGCCATTTAAAGGAGGGGTAATCACTCGGTAAAAATTTAAAAACATTCTGCTAACAAGTTTTTATCATTGTTTGCATCTTGGTTGCCTCCTGCTCCGTGGTAAATGACCTAGTCTTCTCCTGTAACAGAAATGGAAAATTGAGTTGCTGCATGCGATGAGGTTCAGCGTTGTGTTTACGATTCACTCAGGGAAAGGCTGGAGGTAGCGAAGAGGGAGATTCGCCATTGAGTTGAAGATGGAAGTGCTTTCCCATGATTGCGGTAGGTAGAAGAAATTATTTTGCAGGTAGTGTTGGTGCTTTTGATGTCTTATTTTTGCATATCGTTCACATTTTTCTCCTTCTTAAATTCTCCTGAAACTTGTTAGAGCTGTGACATTCATCATCTACGTTTTCAGTTCAGGCAATGTTGCTTACTGCTTAGTTAAGGTATAAGAAATTATCGAAGCCAACTTATATGGAGTGTGGACAGTTTCATCGTTATTTTAGAAAAACCAACTAATAGTTTCATCATGGTTTGGATATTGTGCATGTAGGTTTAGATGCAAGAAACATAAGTACTGCAGACCTGAAAATCGAAGCGCTGACAACATAGCTGCAATAATAATTTCTCTAACTGGCTTGGGTTTGAGGTCTGAATTAATCAGCTGGTTTTGGTCACAAAATGTGACATGAATATTTCTGAACGTTGGTCAACTTACAATTACATCTGTCCAAGGCTCACATTCTGTTCTCTCTTTCAGAATTGCACTTGTGACCATATAAATCTGCATGGATAGGGATCACTACCTGTTTATGATTCTCTTTCCCTTTTTGTACTGAAATTTTCCAGGGATGATTAAGGGCCTGTTTGGCACAGCTCCAGCTCCAGCTCCGGCCCTCCTGGAGCTGGAGCTCAGCCAAACAGTTTCAGCTCCACCAAAACTGGGAGTGGAGCTGGGTGGAGCTCTCACACAAAATGAACTAGAGTTGTGGAGCTGGGTTTATGCAGCTCCACAACTCCACTCCAGACCCAACTCCTGAAACTAAATTTAGGAGTTGGAGCTGTACCAAACAGGCCCTAACTGATGTTGCTGTAACTGAAGCAAGACCTCAATAGTTCTTCCATGGACTATTTCCAGGCCACTCCTCCAAGCAGCCACCATGCAGCTGACAGCAAAATCTGGCCTATTCTTCGATTCTTCAATGAATCATCCATCTTGTTCACATATATTCTTGTTGAACAAACCTGAACAGGTATCACTCTTTTCCTACCTTTGACCTGAACACAAAGGCACGTAGGTTCGAGGACTCTTTTTGCTAGTAAAATTAACAAAGGCCTGGTTTAGTTTCCAACTTTTTCTTCAAACTTCCAATTTTTCCATCACATCAAAACTTTTCTACACACATAAACTTCCAACTTTTTCATCACATCGTTCCAATTTTAATCAAACTTCCAAATTTAACGTGAACTAAACACACCCAAAGTGGAGTACTACTCAGACAGCTGCCACTCTGCTAGTACTCTAGCTACTAATTTTTAGTTATTTTTAACTTGACGTTTTTAAAAACCTTTGGCAATAAATCAAAACAATATTTTGAAATCATTTTTGGTTATAAATTTAATGATATATATTTAGAAAATAAACCCATATGATAATTCTAAGCATAACTTTAGTGAAATTGGCTGCACAAATTTCAGGGTGTAAACTAAAAACAGACAGAGATATAGTTCTTTCATCCTAAACTGTTGCTATTTTATTGGGGATTGAAAATTCATCGGTCCAAATTCCAAATTAGAACCCGTGTCCATGTTGGGGACCAAAAGCATGCTGCATGCAGTCAATCACAAACATGCGAATTCTTGGTCCGTACAAAGGTAGTAGAACATAGTACGTAATTAACTGCGGTCTTAGCTTAAACTTAAACACGCACGAGCAGACTTTAAAATCAACACACTGCTGAGACGAATTCAAAGTTCAAACAGTAGCCAACCTGCTATCTACCTATATATATGCGGCTACCTCCTCGCCATGAAGCTGACACCTCTCTTGCTGCTCTCTTTAGCTAAAGTGTTCTCCATTTTCTGTCTCCCGTTTACTCGACAGCATGACGATGGCGGTAGTGGCGGCGACGGCGAAGCTTGTGCTGCTTCTGGCGGTGTTGTTGCAGTTCTCCGGCGTGCTCACGGCGGCGAGGACGCTGCCGGGGGAGGAGTGGCTGCTGCCGGAGGGCGGCGGCGTCGTACGGGCGGTGGTGGAGATGCTCGTCGGCTCCAAGTCCGGCGGAGGCGGCGGTGGCACCCACTGCTGCTAGCTTAGCTCTAGCTCCTCTCAGTTTCCAAGAGCTATAAAAATTTATTTATTTATTTGGATGCACGAAATGTGCAGCAAAGCTCATCTGACGAGTTAGGGCGGATGATGGCATGCATCACTGTAAATATACACTCCCTCTGTCCCAAAATATAGCAGTTTTTAAAAATGCTTACATTTTAGGACGGATGTAGTATTCAATTAGTTTAATATAATTCCTTAATCGATCAGGATATATGTGTATACTGGAGGCATTTGGTAATTCTTTTTGGGTAAAAATTATTAAGCTCGATCTATGTGTGCATCTGTACGTGGTATGTATTCGCAGGAAAAAGTCCTGCTCAGATTACTTTTGCTTTTTCTTCGTAAAAGGAAAAATGTACAGCTCAGATAAGAAGGAAACATTTTGTTTTTTCTTTGTAAACGGAAAAATCTCAGGAGAAACTTATTATCGGCGCTAATAAGAAGAAAACAGAGCCCAGAACAAACCATAGTGCTTGGACAACAGCGCTGTGTATTTTGACCGCTTTAATTATTTATTTATAGATAATGATTTCCACTAAAAATCAATTCTACTCTAATATCACGTAAAAATCAAACTCCCTCCGTCCCTCATAAGTTTACTTTTAGGAGAGAGGGAAAAAAGTAAGAGGAAGACAAAATTACCTAAACACCCTTATTAAGCAAGAGGTGGTATGTAGCGAGCGAGAAAGTTAATCCGCGGCCAGTTGCGCGTGCCCCCTCCCCCACGCGACTTGGATGCGTGTTGCGCGTGGAGGGGGGGGGGGGGCGGCGGACGACGCGTGATTTTTTTTGGGAGCGGTTTCATTTTCTTTTATGTTTTTCTTTCCGTATGTAGTTTGTGATTTTCTTTTTTTTTTCTGTTTTTTCATTCCGTAGTTTACGGTTTCCTTTTTTTTTTCTTTTCTGTTTTTTCTTTCCGTATCATTATTAGTTTTTTTTCTGTTTTTTAATACGTTATACATGTATAAATACAAATTTTGTATAAACGTATACAAATTTTGCATACGTGTATACAAACTTTGTATAAGTGTATTTTTTGAGTTTTATACCTATGTACACAAACTTGGTATACATGTATACAAAGTTTGTATACATATATTTTTTTTGTTTTTTATACATACGCATACAAACTTTATATACGTGTGTATATTTTTTTATATTTTGTATACAATACAATGTATATATATATAATTATATATATTATATACTATATATACATACGTATAAACTTTGTATACATAAATATTAATATAAAGTTTATACGTATGTGCATATAGTATACACATAATATGTATATATAGTACTCCTATATAGGAGCAGAGACTAGAGGGGGGCTGCTGATCACGGGCGTGCGCGGCCGCGCGACCAGTCGCGGATCAGCGCCCCTGTAGCGAGAGCATAGTTAAGAATAAGATGGAGATAAATTTAAATGATATTGATTGATATGATAATAAGTATGTTAGGATTGCACTTATTTTAGAAAAAAATTTAGAATTACACTTATAGTGAGACTTAGCGGGCAGTATACTCTTAAGATGAAATAAAAGCTGCAATTAGTGCGCTAACAGCATCACGCGCGTTCATCATCCTAGTCATCAAACTCATCAGAATATTGCAACATTTCAGGAGTTTCTATTTATTTTTTTTCCAAAGACCCAACATGTCTTTGAATTTATTTCAGGATTCCTTTTTGCATTGTCGTTGCCTTGGTTGTATCGTCCTATCTACGGTACATTCAACACGCGCCGGTGCGCCTTTTAGTTTCAGAATTCCACCATGTTTGGCAGGCATGATTCAAGTGCGTGATAGCTGAATAATTTAAGACGAATCGTTAGCCTCGTCAAATTTCTTTCAGCGAGATTTTCGGGTCCGCCTTGTCAGTTCTCACACGTTCTGGTCTACTTTGGTCTGAAGTCTGAACCCCTGAGAGTCAGAGACGCTCCTGCTCTTTTTCCCAAAGCTCAGCCTCGTCAGGCCATAGCTGATAGCTGCCATGAGGTGAGTGAATAATCTGATTTTATCTTCAAAGGTTTAGTTGTTCCTCTCCTTCAGGTCATCCATCTAATTATTGTTGTTATTTTCATAAAATCTAATTATAGTTAGTAGATGCAAATTTTACACTTTTACAGCATTTCAGTGTCCTCTCTCCTCTTCTTGATGTACTTGGTGCGCACCGGTAAGCGCCAATCCCGCTACCCACGTAAATATCCTCTTTATAGTTAATTTCCTACCTAGTATAAAACTTGAAAGAAAAAACTTTTCTTTAAGGAATAAAGAAAGAGAGAAACTAAAATTTCGATAAGCGAAAAAAAAACTCCACTTGTCCATTTCACTTGCATCCCTAATTAACCGGTGTCACCAATCATCAAACTAGGGACTAACAGCTTATTTATAAGATTTTCCTTTGCGGGGAAGCTTAGTTATAAGTTTTAGTTTAGGGGACTAATAATTGCCTACAAATTTGGTGCCAGTTACCGATACAAAATTAAAGTCGCGTTCAGAGAAGGCAAAGTTTGATTTGATGCCACACTAGTCGATCAGGCAGTAGGATCTTTTGACTAGTGAAGGGCCTGGAATGGGTGCTAGTTTGCTCACTTGGGCCAAAATATAAGAGTTTTCCTGGGCCGAAACGGACTACTACTCTTCAACTATGTCAATCAAATTTCAAAATATGAAATCCTTAACAAGTAAAAAACTTCTATTTAATATGTGAAAATGGTATTAGTTAATCTCTATGAAAATAACTTAAATATTTATTTTTGGAAATATTTTTCATGAATGAATATATAATTAGAAAATAGTAGATACAGATCGATGCCAGAAATTTTCAAGTATAGAAATAACCAATATACGGTACATAATAATATAATATTTAGTTTGCAAAATATTATGCTACTTATTTTTTTCTCTTCCGAAAGCACAGGATTAATTTGTGCGACACAGTGCTTAATGTTGATCCCTGATAATGACACATCATATGCCAGGGTGACAGCAATTGATGACTACTTCGATTAATTCTTTCTTTCCATGGACCATGACATGCTGAACATGACAGTGCCCTTTTCCTTTGACCTGAACACCGAGGCACGTAAGTTCGACTACTCTTCGACCGTAAAATTAACAAAATAAAAAATAAAAAATAAAAACCGTCGCCCAAAATATTACGGCGTCAAGTAAAACCGAGTCAATATCACTACTCAACTATTATATTGAAGACCGGGCATAATTCATCGGTCCAAATCCAAATTTAAACCCGTGTGGGAGGAAAAATATTTTTTAGCATGCAGTCAATCTCAACGTACGAATTCTTGGTCAGCATCAAGAGAAACGAATTTGAACAGAATCCAGGAATGAACTGCTTAATCAAAACCTAGCACGTAATTAATTAGACTGAGTTTATATGCTGCATAATAATAATAATAATAATAATTAAATTTAAACACGTACGCATTTGCTGACTTCAAAACATTTGCCTCCATTTGCAGAAGACTGATCTGACAGCTTCAACCTAAGCTCAAACCGCGGCCGGCCGGCTATATATACGTAGCTACCTGCTTCGTCTCGCCATGCAATTGATTAAGCTAATTAACATCTCTCTTAGCGCTTAATTTTAGCTTAGCTTAGCCGCTTTCATCTCGATCTGTCTCCCCGTTTGCGCGACACAGCAATTAACGGCGATGGCGGCGGCGGCGACGACGGTGACGAAGCTTGTGCTGGTGGTGGTGCTGCTGCTGCATGTCTCCGGCGTGCTGGCGGCGGCGGCGAGGACGCTGCCTGGGGAGGAGTGGCTGATGCCGGAGGCCGGCGTCGTCGTACGGACGGTGGTGGAGATGCTGGTCGGCTCCAAGTCCAACGGAAGTGGTGGCGGCCATTGCTGCTAGCTCCGTCGTTCCAAGATGGACCATGGTTTGCACGAGCTGTGTGCTAACTGGTCGAACTGACGAATTAGCAGATGATGCATGCTACTAGCAGCTTGATACTTCTGTATATAGATAGTGGAGAACTTGTGATGTCTATATATATATATGGATTTGTTAGTTAATTCTCAATTCCTTTTTGTTACAAAGATGAAATGACTTCCCCCATGATATATTATGGGGGATAGACGTGGGGTCTTACGGCTAGCACTACATGATATGGGCTAGCCGATCTAGGTTAATTCGGGCCTCACTCCCCTCCTAACAAATTTTGATATAAAAGTTCTCATATCCGGTGTTTTCTTTATATATTATTAATTATACTGTTATTTATTAAGGTACTACTCCCTCTGTTTTATATTCCCTTCGTCTTATAATATAAGGGATTTTGAGTTTTTACTTACACTGTTGAACCACTCGTCTTATTATAAAATTTGTGCAAATATAAAAAACGAAAAGTTATGCTTAAAATACTTTAGGTAATAAAGTAAGTAAAATAAATAAATAATAATTCCAAAATTTTTTGAATAAGATAAATAGTCAAACAGTGCAAACAAAAACTCAAAATCCCTTATATTATGGGATGGAGGGATTACCAATTAAGCTCACTAAATGCATGTGTATATATGCGAAATACGCAGAAAATGTTATTTTCAGCCATATTAATTAGGAACGCACAATTTTCGGAACATGCAATTCAATTATCAAATGCTTTATAAAAAAGTGTCCTGCATGGTGTGCGTTCCAAACAAACCTCGATACATCAGTCTGAGTTTGATCGGTTGCATAGCACCAGATAGTTTTGCAATTTATGAGTGTGTTATGGTATAATTAAGATCCCAGTTTCAGCTGTACAATTTTAGTAGAATGTACAAGCCCAAGCAGCTGTAGAAATCATCATCAACCTTTAAAAAAAATCCACGAACCGTATAGAATCATATTTCTTCTCCACAAAATGGGCTTAAAACCAAATTTGTTATAGTATAGCTCACGCATATCATTGACTCAAAATTTAAGCTTTAATCTTAACTTCTTTTTTTTTTTAAAAAAAAACTCAACCTGTTTACCGAGTGTGGTTCCTATCTGTACTGGCTCGGTTGATAACTTAATGATTTTTTTAAAAGTAAATTTTAAAAATAAATCCTCTGAAAAATTATTCAGTTCTAAACCTTTTTAGCCACGGCATTTTAATTGGTATAACCGATAAAAAAAGTCATAGCATAGCGAGAACGGTGCACTAAGAAAGATCCAAAGGTCTCTTCTGGCAAACATCACAAGATGGTAGGTAG